GATAAATAGAGCTTGGAAGTAGAAATTAATCTGACTAACAAAAGCTCTTCTCCAGAGTTCTAAAATAAGCATCAGTTGCAGAGGGCACAAGCAATAGAAAGCAAAGCAGCTTGTGGACAGCAGGGAAAGAGAAGTGCATGCTAGTACCTGCAACAAATTTTGGCAAGCACAAAGACAGAAAGTGGTCAGTGACTGATGGGGTGACAGCGCAATGAATGCAAGAACAGATGAATTGCTTAGAGTTTTTATACTTTTATACTGCATACTCTGGGAGAAAAATAAAGACCAAATAGAATCAATTAAGGTATCTCCACACAAACAATCTAACTGCATTTTATTTTTCAACAGGTATATTCCACTACTACTGCTCTGTTTGTTAGCACTTTGTCAAGTGTGTTTTTCATGCACCACATGGCAAAATAAAATTATATTCTTAAGAGCCATTTATGTGCTACAGGCGAAAGAAGACAAAACTGTGGGACTGGCCATCATGCACAGAAAGACTTTTGTGATAAATTTTACCACAATTTTTACCATTGTTTCAGTATTATTTTGAATTTCCTTCTATTTAAAACTGTTTTGAATTGAATCTCCTAGCTGGTTGCTCTGCTTGCCAAGCAAAGTGATTCTGTCTTAAATGAGGACAGCAAACCATGTTGTTGTGAGAGCAAGGTGAAATGAGGACCATGCCAAGCCTGGAAAGTAATCCTGGAAAGAGGAGACACCAAGCAAGCCAAGGAGAGGAGATTGGCAGCTGTCACTCTCCCTAGTCAGTCCAAGACGGAAGAGAAGATGGAGTGGCCATGCAAGGAAGAAGTAGGCACCATCCTCCCATCAAATTTGTCCAGTCATATATGCACAGTCATATTTATGCAAATCCAAAAGGCAGTTCCCCAGCCCCGTAGCCTGCCAAATCCGACCCCAGCTGCAGGCAACTGCGTAAAAAGCTGCATACCTGCTGTCCCTTTCATTCCTCTCCTCCCAACCACTGCAGTCCCTGTGAAGAAGTCTCAGTAACGTGTCTGCTATGTCTCAGCCTGACTCCTCATTCTGCTGTCTCACCCCGTTCTTGGAGCCGGTGTTTTCTCCGATTATCCTCGTCAGGGCACTGCACGGCATTTCTGGGCCCTCCAGACACACAGCAGGCTAGGTAGACAGAGAAGTCCCAACGATTTCGTGGTGTTCATCGTAAGACAGATGAGATTTTTCATCCCAAGGTGAAGACATCACCACTGACAAGTTTCTGGTATCTCTCGGTCCCCTTATTTTCTTGTGGTTCTACTTGTTGCTCTCGATGGCTCCTGCTGAATAGTTGCTCTGTAGCAACATACTGCATGTAAAGGAGATGAACAGGTCCCAGAATTCCACTCCATGGCAAACCTGATGCTACAACCTCCTGCCCCCTGGTAGAGTGTTTGTCAGACAGCTTCCTCCAAAACCAAGATTGGAGATACAATCATTTGTATTGCATATAAAAAAAGCAATGTTCACTGTGACAACAGTGCTCATCTGAATTTTGTGATATGTAGAGTTCTGTATATGATAGTACAAGCTTCTGAAGAACATAACCCTTATGCAGTGAAGTGCAGAAAAGCACCCAGCTAAATACCATGGAAACCCTACTGGCACCATTTGAGCTGCTGTAGTGCTTGGTTTCCATATGCAAGAGATCCCGACTCTGGCCCAGGGGAGACAGCTTATGTGCATACATGACATAAACCTGAGCTCAATGGCAGCAGTAATGCCTGGGCACTCTCAGAAGCAGAAGTGTGTGGACACAAGGGATGTTACTGGCATCAGAGGACAAAATACTGAACGTACCAAATTTCTCAAAGAATGACAACTCCAAAGTCATTAATGTACTATCAGACAAATTACACCTATACTCTGCCCACTGTGGAACCCAGCAACCAGAAGCAGGAATCAGAGAGCACGAGGTAATGCAGGTGCCACAAGCCACACTCCTTGAGAACCTCACTCTGGCCAACGAGGACAGCTCAGCTGGCTCTGCCAAGCTGCCCAGACAGTGGGGCTGCAAGTCTCAGACAGAGGCAGCTCTTCCCAGTGCACTCACCAAGTGTGCAAGGTGTCAGCTCCAGCCCAGTGTTTCCCCTTGCACAGAGAGCAGCATGCACAGATGCCTGTTGCATGCCTGTGCACAGAGGCAGCACGCAAACACAGAGACATGCAAGCCAGCAGCACCAGCAATGAGGCAGTGTTAGGGCTGCAGCACTCAGCTCTGTCTCATACCCCTGACAGCTACTGCAGAAAAAAAACCACAGGGCCCTCTCAGCAGCCTTGCTCTCACAGGTCTATAGAAATGGAAATTTGTTTTCCTAATTCCAGCCCAAATTCCAAGCATGTTTCCAGCCACAAAGCTGGGTATGATCAAGGGCATATTTTCAGGCCCCTCAAATCCTGTTTGCTGCCAAACAAAAGCTGTGTATGTGTGGTTTCCCCTCTGCAGCCAAACCTTCATCTGTGTCTCGCAGCTCCACTGGTGTCTGGCTCTAGCCTGCCCATGAGAAGTGCTGATGCACAGCATCTTCAACCCTTTCACTGTCAAACAAATACTATGGTCTTGGCAATGATGGAGAAACAGAGATCCATCTTACCACCTCAGCTCAAGAATGATCTGGCACACAGCATTTATTTGTCCTGTAAATTATTTGGCCCCCACCCATTCCTTGACAGAAGAGAGCAAATGGCTTTATTTCATTATCTGGTAAGAAACTGAGGTACAGTGAGCTTAAGTAATATGCCCAAGATCAGTCAGCTGAGTCTGTGGTAGGGTGAAGATCAAAACCCAGGACTTGCTGGCTTTTAGCCAGCATGCTCCAACCACCTTGCCTTGCCTAGAACTTCCTTTGCTACTCAAGAGAGGCCAGAGCCCCAAGCCACATTTTCTAGTATTCTGACTTGTACTTTTGGCAGTGTGAATGCAAAGCCCAGCTACAGGCCCTGCACATACTCACCTACCTTTACAGCATTAGCTGTTTGTTCAAGCCTGTCCCTGTCCTGCTATGCCAGGACACAGCCAACTTCCCTGATGCACAGAGCTCAGTTTCTCTTCTTATACACCCTAAGACAAAACATGAGTAACCACCATTCCCTACAAGCTGTCCCTTCCCATCACTCCCACCATTCCACTCCTCCCCACCTCACCCCACAACCCAGACAGAGCTAGGGTCCCACAGTGCTGCATAACACCATACTCACAGTGAACTTTGTTAGGAGTCGTCTGTTTCCGACGGGACATGTTTCCCTGACCTGGGAGCACAGTGTTCCTCCCCTCTGCAAAGGGCTCATCTGAGAAGAGAAGAGTCTGTCACATACTTCACTGAAATCCTCCAAATCCCTGGCCAAGCTCTGCTGGCTGTCCCAGGGTCATTCCCCACCCTTCTGCCCATGGGGCTCGTTCTGCATCACCACAGCTGGATTCCAGGCCAGCATCCAACACATTCCACATGCATGTCAAAAAGCACTGTGCACAGAGCAGTCCTACCCAGTTCTCAGACAAAGATTTAAGCAATCCTGACCCCCCAAAAGTTGAGTGTCCCCTTCAAAAATTACTGCAACCTCAGCCCCAACACTCTTCTCCCTCATGCCCATTCCTGCAGCCTAATAATCATCCTTTTCGCTGAACTGACAAAGGAAGGTGGAATTTCCAACTGTTCCCTCGGAAAGACAGACAAAAGGAGGAGCTGAACCCATTTCCCACAAGACACATGGACACAGAGTACCCGTCAGCCTCCTCAGAGGGACAAACACACGGATTTTGTCAGTCTCTCGCTGACAGAGAGACACAGACATCCCATCAGCTTTCTCAGACACAGGGACAAAAGGATCGTCTCAGCCTCGCACTGCCAGACGGACACAGGGATCCCATCAGCCTTCTCAGATGGATGGGCACGAAGACCTCGGCAACCTCCCCAGCCAGCGGGATCAGCCGGCAGTCCCAGCACACGGGAGACGTCAGGAAAGACCGGGCCCGCAAGCGGCCGGACATCGAGACAAAGGGATGCGGCTCCTCTGGCATCGAGGCGGACGCGGGAGCCCTGCCCGGGCCCCCGCGGTCCCGAGCGGGCAGCCCTGACAGCCTGACCGGCCCTGGCAGCGGAGGTCCCGCCGCGAGGCCCGTTTCGCCCCTCGCGGGCGGCAGCCCTAGCCCGGCACAGCTTACCCGGTCCTGCCGCAGGCGCCGGGAGCCGCGGACAGACAAAGAGCAGCGGACAGACGGACGGGCAAGATGGCGGAGGGCGCCGCCGCGCGGGCCACGGCTCGGCACCGGGAGGGCACGGCAGGCACGGCTGGTACCGGCTCGTCCATAGCCCCCAGGTGCCGGCTTTTCATTGCCTGAAGCGTCTCACCTGTCTGCCATGGATCCAGCCCAGCGCGCGACTCCTGACCGCCCGAGGGAGCTCATCCGTGCCTGCGACGAGGCTCGCTCGCCCCGGCCGCCTCCGTCAGGAGCTCACCGGGAGCCCTCGTGTCGCCCCAGCTCACGAGACTCTCGCGTACCCTGCAAGGCCAAAATGCACGGGTTTAGTATTAACTTAGACCCACGGCGCACGCTATGAACTCACGCACCTGCTGAGAGGAGAACCACCCCGGGGGCTCGGGGGCGCCTCCCCTCGCGGGTCACCGAGCGCCGCCGCGGGATCAGCGGGCCCGCTCGGAACGCCCGCTGGGCCCGCTTACCCGGGGACTGCGGCACCGGGCCACGGCCCGGGCTGGACTTCGGTCCGACTCTCCTTCGCGGTGGCGCCAGCGCCGTGCGGCCCTCAGAGAGCCGAGGACTCCGCGGGCAGGTTACAGCACCCGGCGGAACGCCGCGTTACCGGAACCGCCGCGCCAGGGGCGGGCACCGGCGGGCGCCTATCAGGCGTGGTACCAGTTGACCTCACACAGAATCCCTCCGCCGGGCCATGTAGTCCCTCTGCGCCGCGCTCCCAGACCGTGCCCGTCCCTCCCCGCCCGCCGTTGCGCCAGGGCCGCGTTTGCGGCAGCGGGCCGGGACAGCGCCCGCCGCGCCAGCTCGGCTGTGTCCCGGACTGAACGTGGGGAGTGCCGGCTATGAGGATCACTCCGCACGCAATGAAGTCTTGCGGACGCCGCGCGCCATTTTGGGTGACAGAGGCCCGCGGAGCGGCGAGTGGTGAGACAGGCCGTGGGACGGGTGAGCGGGGCTGTGGGGAGCGGGGCTGTGGGGAGTGGTCGGCGTCCGAGGAGGTGACGGGGAGCCCTGCCCCAGGGTCTTCCGCAGCCCTGGGACCCGCCCCTGGGGTCTGCTCCGCTTGTGCTGTGGGATGTTCTCTCCGTACCACTTGGTTCGGGAGGGAGAGGGATTCCTCCCCCCAGCCGTCGTGTGCAGGTGCGCCGGTGGAGCTCGTGCAGGGCCTCCTGCGCACTGTTCGAACTGTCCCTGGGCAACTAGACCGGACGCGGCGAGTCTCGCCGAGCGGCTGGTGTGGCTGGCGACCGTCCTGGCAGCCGGGTCAGGTCATGGCTCGGTCTGCGTTGGGCAGCGCAGCCGCCGGCAGGGAGGGATGGGGAGGTGAGATGCAAACCGAAGTCTTTCTATGGGTTATCTTTTATGGAAGCTTTTTTTTTTTAATAAAAGGTTCTTGGCAAATAGAATACTATAATTAAATACTGATAGAGTTTTCTCTCTGTAGAGTTAGTAAGTTGAACTGGTTTCTGGGAGACGAAGCAGGCAGGAAGAGTGTGGGGAATGTGGAACTGCAGCTTTTTCTTCTGGTGACGAGAATTAATTATGTAGCTGGTTTATAATTTGTATTTTGATAGGATAGAGGTAGGCTTGGCTCTTTACTTGACTTTTCTGCCTATTAAAAAATGTCCAGGAAGTTTCCTCGAGGTTTCTAAGGTCAATCCCGTTGGTCTTGGTTAGGTGCAGGATTGTGAAGCGGGAAGGGTAATAATGAGTGCTTGAGGTTCAGCAGTTTGTAAATAACTACTCAGTACATGACTTGGCAGACCAGGGCTTATTTGTTCAGGGAATTTCTTGGCCTCCCCCCAGTGTCTGATGTGCTGACTGATAGTTCTTGGTTCCAGTGACTGTCCCTCTTCTCCACAGAAAGTGTTTATCATGTTGGGCTCTGGGTTCAAGGCAGAGCGTTTGCGAGTCAACCTGCGCCTCGTCATCAATCGCCTCAAACTACTGGAGAAAAAAAAGAGTGAGTATTTAAAGGAGCAGGACCCTGGATGCTTTTGGGGTTCAGGATACTGGAGAAGGTTTCTCAAGTCAGGGTACTCTCATGGGTAGAGTATGGAGTAGCTTTTTGCTCAGACTTCCTTGCTGGACCCAGGCCTTACAACCTGCCATGGTGCACAAGGAGCTAGAAAAGCAAGCTGGCCACAGTCTGGTCTCTGTCCGCCTTCCTGGCAGCTGTTGGAGTACAGTTTGTGGGGTGGTAGCTGTGGGCTTTGTGTGCTGACAGCACACTGGGGAACTCCCTGGGTGCTGTGGGAGATTATCCCCACGTGCCCTGCCCTGCCACATTTAAGGTCTGTGGTCCTGGTTAACTCTGCAGGGAGGTGGTAGGTGTGGGAGTGTTTCCAGCAGCCTAAAGTCCATTTTCCTTTCTGCCTTGAGTTAAATGTATTCAGACCTGGATATGAGGGCTCTGCCAAATCATGGCCGAGTGTCTCATGCTGCAGAGGTTTGATAGGTGAGAGAAGCTGGTGGTGGCTTTGTGTGATGAGGACTATGGGTGGTCTGGAGGCAGCAGCTCAGGCCAGCACAATGACTGGGCTTGGGATGTGTATTGCAGCTGAGTTGGCCCAGAAGGCAAGGAAGGAGATTGCAGATTACTTGGCAGCTGGAAAAGATGAGCGTGCCAGGATTCGTGTGGAGCACATCATCCGTGAAGATTACCTTGTGGAGGCCATGGAGATCTTGGAGCTGTACTGTGATCTGCTGCTCGCCCGCTTTGGCTTGATCCAGTCCATGAAGTAAGCTCGGGCTGAGAGGGTGCTGGCGGCAGGTCTGAGCTACAGAAGGGTACCTGTGTTTGTCTCTCTAGAGACCTTTTCTTCCCCATGTAGGGAAGACTGTGGAGTCCAGTGTACATAGAGTGGGAACTTAAAGGCTAAGTAGATTGAGGGCAGCAAAGGATAGATGCATGGGGTAGAGAGAGAATTGATTTCTTTGGTCGTAGGGAGCTGGACTCTGGCCTGGCAGAGGCAGTATCGACACTGATTTGGGCTGCTCCACGTCTCCAGTCGGAAGTGGCTGAGTTGAAGATTGTGAGTAAGGTTGCTTGAGGGATGTTGCACATGCAGGGTGGGAGTGATGCTGATACAAATGTCTTGTCTAGGACTTTGTATCATTAAAAGAGAGGACTTTATGGGCTTTGCAGATGGAAACCAGATGTCCTTGGAGCATCTAGGGTGGCTGCAGCTGCTGAACTGGGGTGCTCGGTGGAAGAAATGAGGGAGGGAAGTGGATGAGTGGATGTGTGGTTTGAGGTGGGGGAAAGCAGGGGTGTGCATGCTCTAGAGTTTCTCTTCTGCTGCAGGTTGCTGATCAATTGTGTGCTAAGTACAGCAAGGAGTATGGGAAGCTGTGCCGGACAAACCAGATTGGAACAGTCAACGACAGGGTAATGAACTGGTAGAACAGGTGGAGCTGGCAGAGCAGCCACGCCTACTGAGGCTTGCTGCCCCTTGGGCCTGTGGCTGATGCATGCAGTCACTATGGAGCATGGCAGGTGCTGTGCAGCCAGGGCCTACCTGCATTAGAGCATGGTGCTGAGGCCCCAGGCAGGGAGGCCCTGCTCTGCTGGTTGTGGATGGGGAAGGGCAGAGCAAGTAGAGCCCTGGCCTGTGGCTGCTTGCCACATACTGTACTGGGTGGAGAGGCCTCCCCAGGGCTGCCTGCTGTTCCCCACAGCTGGGAGCCCTGGCTGGGATGGCACTGCTACAGAGCTGTTGGGTGCTGCATTGCCCTGACCCTACTAAGTCTCTCCACCCCTGTGTTCCAGCTGATGCACAAGTTGAGCGTGGAAGCACCACCCAAGATCCTGGTGGAGAGATACCTCATTGAGATTGCAAAAAACTACAATGTGCCCTATGAGCCTGATTCAGTGGTGATGGTGAGTGAGCCCCAGGATGTGGCATTGCAGTGGGCTGTGTGGTCCTTGTGCTTTGGTGTCTTCCAGACAGCCCCAGCAATGTCTGATCCTTGTTCCTTCATGTACCCCTATGGCGTGTGGCAGTAGTTACACATGCTACAGCCTGGTTCCCTTTCTGTTTCCTATTAATTTTACTGTATAGCTACTCTCTGCTCTGTTCTTGCTGAGTATTCTCATCTTGTCCATTGACAAATGCTGCATCTAATGCTGTACAGATCGCTGTGATCATAACAGAGATGTGTTGGTGAGCAGAATTCTTCCACCCTTTCCAGGCTGAAGCTCCAGCAGGCGGAGAAGCAGATCTAATTGATGTGGGGTTCACGGATGATGTGAAGAAGGGTGGCCATGGAGGGGGCGGAGGTGGTGGATTTACAGCCCCAATGATAGGTCATGATGGGTTAGTACCCATGCCCGTGATGATGCCTATGCCTGTGCCAACAACAAATCCACCCTTCTCCTATCCACCTTCAAAGGGACCGGTAAGTCCCTGGGCTTTGTGTTGCCTTTTTCTGTGAAAGATTCCTATTGTGGTGCTTAGCCCTGTGCCTCTGCTGACTGTTCCTGATGGCTCAGTGTGTCAGAAGGCCATCTTCTTGGTGTGAGACCGCATGGAATGGAGGCTGTTGGCAGTGCAGCTAAAGCTAAATGTTGCTTCTTGACTGTGGAGGTTCCTACCCCTGTTCTCCAGCCAGCCCTCTTTGCCTTCAGGGAACAGAGGAGTCCAGACTTAACTCTTGAGGCAGTCTTCTGACTGCCAGGCTTTTGTCCAGGAGTTGGAGCTCCACTTTGAAGTTGGTAGGCTGGTAGTGTGCCAGGATTCAGTCAAGGAAATCAGGTGAGTGTTGTGGGGTGGGAATAGCACAGAAAAATGTGGAAGAGCCCTGCCTTCTGACCTGCAAGGGGAGAAGACTGAGCCAATGGCTCTTGCAGATGATTTGATGTGAGGGTGGAAGGTGGGAGCTAAAAAGAACTCCTCTGTTCTCTGAATTAAGTAATGTACGGATAGGATTAAGGATATCTGTGTAGACTGGAGAGCAGAATAGTGGGATGGCTTGGAGTCTTAATACAGTCCCAGTAGTGCTGAAGTGCTTTTTGTGGAAAATCTGGGCCAAGTATCATCAGCTGGCTGTTGGCCCAGGCATAAATATGCTGAGGGTTTTTTGCCAGGTCTGGCTCCTTGAGGTGCTGTTGTGTGACAAATGAGGGCAATTCAAAGCCTTGTGTGAGGCAGAAACCTCCTTCCTATTCTGCAGTACTGCACACAGGGCCAGAAATGGCAGACTATTTCCTTTATTAGCCTGGTACTTCTTGTGACTTGAAAGATGAAATGTTTACCTGTGCTGATTCTTTAGAATAACCCACAGTCCAGTTAGCTGGGTCTTGCCTGCTCCAGGTGACTATAGCTGACTTAATACTTGAGAATCTCTTCCTTGTAAGCATAAACTCTTACCCACTTGGATACCTGCCTGCATTTATCTAAGACTCTACTTCCTGTGACTCCCATGACAGCTGTACATGTGTGGTGTCTCAGATGAGTAGTCTGGTGCATGACTGATCTCTCTCTACAGGAGAACTTCAGTGGCCTGCCAGTGGGGACCTACCAGCCTTTCACTAACATCCACCCACCACCAATTCCGGCAAACCCACCCACATACGAGTCCGTAAGTGTCTGAGATGAATGGCCATTACAGGCAGCAGTGTCCTCAGAGTGCAGTGGTAGCCACAGAAAGGGAAATGTTTATAAAGGGTACTGCTGCCAGCCTTTGGAGCTTTTGGGGTGGTGGTGGCATTGCTTGTTGGTGTAGTGAATCACTGAGTGCACGTGATGGAAGGATGACTTGTGGAGAGAAGTTTTCCATTCAGCTCTGTGCATTAGCTGCAAAGGAAAGCTAAGATTTTTCTTGCTACATTGTTAAAGTGGTGATCTATAGTTAACAAGCAGAATCCCCAAGTTCTGGTTTTTGCAGTGTGACGTGTTTATCATCTTGAGTCTGTTTAATTATGGCTTTTGAACTAACTAAAAACCTGGATGGCAATTTTGGCTGACCCAGATGCTGTACGTTTAAAGACACTTCCTTTCACAGACTTTCCTCAGTCCTTGAGGACAACAAAGCAGAGGCTGGGGACTTCCCTTTCTATGCTTGTTTGTGGTTTTGTTGCTGCAGTTTGTCATCATGCCTCCGGCTCTGCTTTTGGTGACCTGCTGTTTGTTTTTGCACCCTGAGTAGGGAGGAGCACAGTTGAGCATTTTGGGTGCTGATACTTTGTGTTCTCACAGGTGCAGCAGTGCTGATGATCTGGGTAGGAATGGGTATTGAGAGCTAAAGCATGCAGGGAATAAGAAGTTTTATTAGCACGGCTGTGTGTCATAAGCATTTTTCCCAGATAGACCAGGACCTGAGATGGGTCATTTCATACCCTGCTGCTAGTCACAAAGTCCTGTCAGTGGTTTATAAAGAAAGGCAGGAAGGAGCTGTGATGACATCGATGAACGGGCCAGTGTTTTCCCACTTATGGTCTTGATAAATGTTTCAGACCTGATAGTGGATGTACTCAATGGATCAAGTTCCAGAATATGGTCAGTGAAGCTGCTTTAGTTGACAAGGAGGGAGAGAAAAGCTGAAGAGCTGACTGTTTCTTGGGAAGAGAGGCATGTTGTTGCAAAGCCATGGCTGTTTGCTAGGGGTGGAGGTGAAGCTGTGCCTCTGAGCTCTGCCTGTGTGCTAGTGTGACCATGGCTGGTGGGACAGAGCTGTAGTAACTGAGAGTCTTTTTCAGATTGATGAGCCTAACTCTGAAAAGGACGCTGCTGCACTAGTGCCTGGTGAGTATGTTGAGGTTTGGAAAACCTTGGATATTAGGGGCTTTACAGAAAAACCCACTGGTACTGCCTGTTGCTGGAATGACCGTTCCTTTGTGGGGCTCCATTTGGCAAGTGTGTGCTGATGGTGAGGTGCAGTGATACTTCTTTTATAAACAGGGCCCGAGACCAAGCCAGAAGCTTCTCCTAAACCAAGTGCTGGAGCTCCTAATACCTTTGATAACTTTGTGCTGCCAGAATTGCCATCTGTGCCAGACACACTGCCAACAGCATCTGCTGGCGTCATCTCTTCTGCCTCAGAAGACATTGACTTCGATGATCTTTCACGGAGGTTTGAGGAGCTGAAGAAGAAAACGTAAAACTTCCTGGGCTGCAGGAAGGTGGGGAAGGAGCTGACATCTTCTCTCTGAAACAGACTCCCTTTGAAATTGGCTTCCTGTATTAACCTCCAATGAATATACTCTTCTTTTTAAGCCCTCTTCCTGCTGTACTTACACCAAGAGCTGCTGCTTTCCTGATCTTTGCTGCTCCAGGAGATGAACTGTGGGAATGTTGTTAGAGTGCGGCAGGGAAGAGCTCCTGTCAGTGTGGGTAGCTGTATGGGAAAGCTGTGCATGATGTTCTGGGCACTGTTCCTGGCTGTCTCCATGATGTCTCCGTGCCTGCCGGCAGAGGCTTTCTCTTCGGGAGCCCTTGCTGGCGTTCATGGTGTTCTCGGTGGGGTCTTTTTGCAGTTTGGAGAAGGGTGGCACTATTTGCCTGAGCCTATTGGGTATGTGATTGGTCCTGCAGAGGGCAGAGCTAGGCAGGCTCTGCTGCTGCCTCAGGGTTTTGATGCAGCAGCTTTCCTCCCGGGTGCTGAGCAGCTGTGGATCACCGAGGTCTGGGGGTGAGGCAGGAGAGTGGTCTGACGGATACGCAGTGGCATCTTGTTTACGCTACCCGAACCGTGAGCGAGGCATCCCGGGACTGTAACGTACCTGTTCGTGGCGCTGTCTGCAGCTCTACCGCACCTGTCCGTGACCCTGCCCTGGCTGTACATCAGTTGTCCCGTCCCTGTCCGCTTCCCCGGGGCTCGGGCCATTTGTACTCGTTCAATAAAGCGCGGTCCGGGGCTCGTCGTGTGCGCGCATCGCTCGGGGCCGCGCGGCGCGCCCCAGGGGCCTCTGCTGTGTCGCTATTGGCTGGGGGGGGTACAGCCTCCGCCAATCACAGAGGGGGGCCCCCGGAAGTGCCCTCGTGTTAGGCTGAGCGTGATGGCGGCGCCGCTGCGCGTGAGCGGCCGGGGGGCCCGGGGACGTCGGGGGGACCCTGGGGACAGCCGGGCTTGGCCGGTTGCGGCTGGGGCGGGACGGAACGGGATGGGTGGTGTGTGGGATCGGGGCCGGCGTGCGGGGAGAGGAGGGAACGGGATGAGCTCGGTACCGGGATGGGCTAGGATAGTTGTGGTTGCCGGTGGGGGATCGCTGCCGGTGTGCTGCTGACGATCTGGCGCAGGGACGGCTGCGGGCTCTGGCGCTGGGAGGCTGCGGGCTGCTTCTGGGATCGGCGCTGGCGGCAGGCGACGAGCGGCTTTACGCGGCGGCGGTGATGCCTGCGCTGCGGGCGCTGCCCCCCGAGGCCGCCCACGGCCTGGCTTTGCGCGTCGCCGCCCTCGGGCTGCTGCCCCCCACCCGTCCCGACGGCCCCGCGCTGGTGCGTCTCTCCAGGGCGGAGGAGGGGGAATCGCGGAGACCAGGGCGGGGAGTGGGGAGGTCGCAAGAGCGGCCAGAACAGAGTAGGGGGTGTGGTCGCCACCTCCTTCCCCGGGGCGCGCGGGCGGCCGCGTCCCTTCGCAGTCGGTGGCGGGCGACGAGGGGCCCTTGGGCAGGCATCCCATAAGGACACCCCATAGAGCAGGGTACGCGACCGGGTCTGTCCGGGAGGGGTGTTGGAGCGAGGCCTTGGCAATGGTTCCTGGAGTCTGAGCTCTGACCCAGCCTCAGCCTTGCAGGAGGTGCGAGTCCTCGGGCAGCGATTCCGCAACCCATTGGGCCTGGCTGCTGGCTTTGACAAGCAGTGTGAGGCTGTGGACGGCCTGTACAAGATGGGCTTTGGCTTTGTGGAAGTGGGAACTGTCACACCCAAGCCCCAGGAAGGGAACCCCAAGCCCAGGGTCTTCCGGCTGGTAGAGGACGAGGCAGTTATCAACAGGTGAGATCTGCTCTGCCATGTCCCACAATCTGCCTGCCATGAGGGAGGGTGCATATTTGGGTGATCCCAGGTCTTTGGTTGATGCTGTGGTGGCTTCTGGTTGGATGTGCTGAGCAAAGCTGCAGAGACCACACCTCTGCCTTGTGTTTCTCACATATTCTGTTCAGGGCTTGCAGACATAACTCAGCCTTGAGCCCAGTCTTGTCCTGGTGCAGGTATGGATTCAACAGCCATGGCCACGTTGCGGTGGAGCGCAGGCTGCGAGCCCGACAGGAGACACAGATCAGGCTCACTGGTGGTGAGACAAGCTTGTAAGCCTTTGCTCTTGGGGTCTGCGGGGAAGGTTTGGGCATCTCCTGGGTACCTGTAGACCAGGATTGGTGTGTAATGCCAGTATCCAGGCACAGGAGCTGAAGCAAGGAACGCTTGGACAGCAAGATTCACTTGTAGTCTCACCCTTGGCATTGTGACTAGGCACATTTCTCCTGCTGTTTTCTCTGGAATAAAGCTCTACTTGCTGCTTTGGGCAGGATGTATCTGCTGACATAGCTGAAGCCAAGAGGACCCCAGGGCAGATCCTGAGGGCAACCTCTGCCAGGCTGAAGGCTGTGGTGCTGGGAGGTGCTGTGGCAATGCTTTTGTGGTTGCAGGACAGTCCCATCCTCATGAAATACATGGGTTGCATATCCTCATCTTAACTTTAGCTGGTCGTGGGACCTCCTGTTTTGGGTGCTCTGGCCATTGGCTGGTGGTTGTCCTGCTACCCTGGTTCAACTATGTCTGTGTTCCAGCTGGGATGCCTCTTGGAGTCAATCTGGGCAAGAACAAGAGCTCTACTGATGCTGCAGCTGACTATGTGGCTGGGGTCCGGACACTGGGCCCTTTGGCTGACTACCTTGTTGTGAATGTGTCCAGCCCAAATACCCCAGGGCTGCGGGACCTGCAGGGCAAGGCTGAGCTGCGGGAATTGCTGAGCAAGGTGGGTGCCTCCCCCCAGCAAGCCACAGCTACAGCACTGGATGCATTCCATCTCCTGGCAGCATCTGCACCGCTGCAGCCAAGATTTGCCTGAGCACAGGGAGGAGTGGGATGGGTGTGGCTTTCCCACATGGTGGGCAGAACCACTGAGATGTCCCTGTCTCTGCTGCCGTGGGTGTACTACGCACTGTATCTCAGCAAAGGGCTCAGGAACAGTGAAGCATTACCCTCCACTTGCTCCTGCAAGAGACAGTGAGTTGTCCACCCCACAACTGCAGGAATTGCTGGGGTCCTGTGCCTGCTGTGTGCTCCAGGGCCTGTGCCAAGGGTGCCTTTCCCATTTTTGGTGTCATGTAGAGGAGCAGGGCATGTGCCTGTACTGCCTGTGGTGGTGGGTGTCTGTAGCTCCTATCTGGGGCAGGAGGCATTTCCTTGCCATGCACTGCCATGTGCACTGACAGGTGCTGGTGGAGAGGAACCTGCTGCCCTGCAAGCGTAAGCCAGCTGTGCTGGTGAAGATTGCCCCTGACCTCACCACACAGGACAAGCAGGACATCGCCAGCGTTGTTTGTGAGGTGAGGAGGCAGGAAGGGGAGGCCACCGGAGGCAGGACCATGGTGGTCCTGGCAAGTCACCGCTCTGGAAGACATGTATGCCTGCAGCTCTCTGGCTGCTGTAGGGATGGTGTCCTGGGTAGGTCAGAGTCGGTGAGTGCTCATGTGTGTCACCAAGCAGTCGGTGACCCAGGCAGTCCAGGCAGTGAGGGGCAGCTTTGTCCCCAGGCACACTTCTGGGTTGTGTGCTGGGTGGTCCTGACCTGCCAGGAGGAGAGGGGAGGGCTGGGCTGCTTGTGAAAACAGGGTCCTCACACTACTGCCCCTGCAGCTAGGTGTGGATGGGCTGATAGTCAGCAACACCACCGTGAGCCGCCCCAGCAGCCTCCGGAGCAGGCAGCGCATGGAGCCTGGGGGCCTCAGTGGGAAGCCCCTGCGGGAGCTCTCCACACACACCATCAGGGAGATGTACGCTCTCACTCAAGGTGATGGCACAACAGAGCTTGGGGGTGCATGCCAGCATGGGCTGTGCCATCCTGACCATGCACTCTGCCCACAGGCCGGGTGCCCATTATTGGCGTGGGAGGGGTGAGCAGCGGGCGGGATGCCCTGGAGAAGATCCGGGCCGGAGCCTCGCTTGTGCAGCTGTACACAGCACTTGTGTACCACGGGCCACCAGTGGTGGGGGCAGTGAAGCGGGAACTGGAGGAGCTGCTTAGGTGAGTGGAGACCAGGCATGTTCGTCCTAGGACAGCTCTGGACAGCTGTGTGCTGGTGCCCAAGCAGTGGCACTGCAGGGCTGTGCCACACTAGCCCAGTCCCACCACACACTGTCCCTGGTTAGGGAGCAGGGCTTCAATAACGTCATGGAGGCAGTTGGAGCAGATCACCGCTGCTGACATGCTGCAGAATGAAGGTGTGGCTGGAAGGAGCCATGGCTGAGCAAGGATGGATGTGACAATTCCAATGCTGGGCAGACTGGGACTGAGACAAGGTCCTGGTTCCAGCCCCTGGGAAGGGTCTGATGGGTGAAGTGAGGGGCTGCTCTGGTGGGAAGCAGGTGACAGGGCCTTCATGACACTGCTGCTTTTCAGGCTTCTGTTTTGGCTTCCCTGTGGACAGCAGAACTGAGTGTCAATAAACATTTGGCTCACCTGGTCCTGTGTGCTGCTCTGGGGACACTCCATGGGCTGGAGGGATGCAGCTTAGCTCTCCTCAGCTGAGCAGGATCAGCTCTCCCACTTTTCCTGGTGGGAGAAGCCACCAGGGTACCTGAGAACTGGGATGGACTAAGTGTACCAGGCCTCTGCTAGCAGAGACTTCTGACTGAGGAGCAGCCCACCTTGAGCATCGGGTGCATTGTTTCTGCACCCCGGCTACCCACAGGCCATAGACCTGGCCTTGCTGAAGCTGAAACAGGAGCTGCTGCTTGGAGAGGAGGTGATGCCTATCTGTCTGTCCCAGAAGGACTATGTGCACTCAGGGCAGGTGGGCTACACCTCAGCCTGGAGCTGCAGTGCCGCCTTTGGCTTCTCTGACATGCTGAAGTATGTGATGCTGCCAGCGGCTGAGAATGAGCAGTGCTAGGAATACTACAGTACCTGGAATATGTCCTTTGGGTCCAGCCCCTTCATGGCAATGGCACCTTCTGTGTGGGCAGGAGTGAGCTGAGGCAGGACACCTGCTGTGGGGATGCAGGCGGAGCCTTTGCCCTGCAGCGTCCCGATGACAACACTTAATATGCAGCTGGTATCGTCAGCTGCGACAAGACCTGCATAGCTGCGAAGTGTGGCGTGGATGTGGACATGAAGCATGTCCTGGCCTGGGTGAAGGAGACAGTAGCAGATGGCTGAGGCAAAACAGTGAGGGAATAAAACTGTTTCGTACCAGGCTACCAGCTTTGTGTCTGTCTGTCCTTGCAGGCTCTGTGTGTGTCTGTCCATGCAGCGTCTCTGTGCCCGGTGCTGCATGGGCCTATTGACTGGGGGTTAGCGTGTGCCTGCCCTCGCTCCCCGGCAGCGTCCTGCGGGACTTCGGCGGCCGTTGGCTGGAGGATCCGGGGCTGCAGGGAGCTGCAGCCTGACAGAGTCTCGCCCCTGCACGGTTTGGGGTGTGCTTGGAACTATCCCCGCGCACGGCACTGTCCCCGTGGGTGTCCCTGCCCCGCGGGTTTCCCCACACGGCGCTGGCCCCGCGGGTGTTTCCTCACACGGCGCTGGCCCCGCGGCTGTTTGTTTCCCCACACGGCGCTGGCCCCGCGGCTGTTTGTTTCCCCACACGGCGCTGGCCCCGCGGGTGTTTGTTTCCCCACACGGCGCTGGCTTCGCGCTCCCTCCCCCCCTGACTCCGCCCCGCGCCCAGCTGACCGTGCGGAGATTGCGTGCGCCGGAAGTCCGCCCCGGCAGGGAGCGCGGCTTGTCTAGCGACGTTGCGACTCTATGGTGGCGGTTCTCCCATAGGCTCTGGCCACCGTGTCTATGGTGCACTTGCCTAGAGGGGCTCCTCCCGCCGAGAACTCTGGGGCGGCTATGGCGGCGCTCCGGGAGCGGAGTTACGGTCGCTGAGGGAACTGCGAGGCCCGCGCGGCGCTGCGGCCACGATGGCTGCGGCGAGCGAAGATTCACTGCATCGGCTGTCGGGGACGAGCCCGAGCGGCGAGGCGGGCGGGCTGGTACTGCGGACGCGGGGCGCCGAGCAGCACGTCTTCAAGGCCCCGGCCCCGCGCGTCTCCCTGCTGGGACTGGACGTGCTGGCGGCGCAGAAGCGGCGGGAGCGCCAGGAGGAGGCGGTCGGGGGGAAGCGATCCCGTACCGCATCCTATAAGGACTGGGAAGAGGGTCGTGACGAGGCAGAAAACGCCGAGGACGAGGAAGAGGAAGAGGAAGAGGACGAGGCGGACCGGAGCAACCGCAGAGCTCGCAGGAACAGGTGGCGTTTGCAAGGGGTTGGTGCCGGTGGTGGCCGCGTCCAGCCGGGTAGGGAGCGCAGGGTGAGCACAGGCGGGGCCGCAGCCTCCGGTGCGGAGAGAGGGAGAGTGCGGGGACTGCGGAGTATTATGGCAGAGGTTGCAACAGGAGCTGTACGAGACCAGCCGAAGGGCAGCTGTTGCTCAGCACCTCTGAGCATTTCTTCTCTCTGCTCTGCTCGCCCAGACATTACCGCTCTGTCCACGTGGAGACCCCTTCCTACACAGGGGGTGTCAGCGAAGAGTTCTTGGAACGCAGCCGGCAGCGAGAGAGGGAGCGTCGGGAACACGGAGTCTTTGCCTCCTCCAAGGAGGAGAAGGACCGGAAGAAGGAACGCAGTAGGGATCGGGACCACGATCGTAAACGAGACCGTGGTAATTGCTCAGAGACCTTTGTGGTGCTTCTTGGTGTGGGTCTGGGCTTGTCCTTTGCCCTGTTTGTAGTCTTTAATAATGTTAATAATGTTTATGGTGATTTTTGTAGCAGACTTGGGAAGCCAGTTTGTGCAATAGGCACCTGATCCTATTTTGTTTTTGCAGTGGAGCGGGACAGGAGTCATCACAGCAGATCAGAGAGGGATGGCTCATCAGAGCGGAGTGGCAGGAGGAGTGAACCTGAGAGCCCCCGGCATCGGCCCAAAGGTGGGAGTGGGACCTGGTAGAGCTCTTGTGTGAGACCTAACAGGGAGGAGCTTGGAGTTTTTTTATGCTTCCTGCTGTTTATGCAGGACGGGGATGGTAGAAAAGCTTGTACATTGTAATGTTTGTGGTTAAGGCAAGCATAAAACTCCCAGCTCAACTTGAGTCTGGGAGCAATGAGCCAGCTGTCTGTGTTTGAAACTCTGGCAGATCTCTGCATGGTGGGGTCTGTTCTGTGTCTGTGATGTAAAAATATGATCCTGTGGAAATTCCTTGGAATCATTTGGATCAGTCCCTTCTCTTAAAGGGAGGGTCAATGGGTACCCTCTCTCCATGCTCCTTGCTTAGAAGATGTTAGGTGGTTCCAGGTGCCCAGGGGCGCTGTTTGAACAAAAGATGTCAAACCCCATCTCTTCTGCCAGATGCAGCCACACCATCTCGCTCCAGCTGGGAGGAGGATGATGGTGGCTACAGCAGTGCCCATCGCTCGCAGTGGGAATCTCCGTCTCCCACACCTTCCTGTCGAGACTCAGAGCGTAGCCACCGACCGTCATCACTGCGGGACACGGACCGGCGGGAGCGGGACAGGTACCCAGTGCCTGAGGCTGTGCTGTGAGCTGTGGAGCTGCACAAAGGGTACTTTGTATGTATGAGAAGGGTCTGGCTGTGGGCACCAGTTCCTCCCATCTGCTGTGTTTTCAGGTCTGTGAGGAGCCGGTACTCTGATAAGACGCCATTGCCAACCCCATCATACAAATACAATGAATGGGCTGATGACCGGAGGCACCTGGGAGCCACACCACGCCTGTCTCGAGGGAGAGGTGAGGAATCTGGGCTGAGCTGCCTGGGGTGGGTAGTGTGGAATGCCCTTTCTTGTGGCACAGAGTTGGGGCTTCCCTGGGAACATTGTGGACCGTCTGGCTTACCCCAGGGCGGCGCACAGAAGGGGAGGAGGGCATCGCCTTTGAGACGGAAGAGGAGCGGCAGCAATGGGAGGATGACCAGCGGGTGAGAATCTGGGACAGGCCAGGGGCTTGGGGCCACGAGGCTGTGGAGGATGGCCAGTACTCAGTGCTGCACCTCTCCCTTCCCAGCAAGCTGACCGGGACTGGTACATGATGGATGAGGGCTACGATGAGTTTCACAACCCTTTGGCTTACTCCTCTGAGGAGTATGTGAAGAAGCGTGAGCAGCATTTGCACAAGCAGAGGCAGAAGCGGATCTCGGCACAGCGCCGACAGATCAATGAGGTAAGACCAAGACACAGGATTGGCTGCTCTGAACACATGGGGTTTGCTGCCTCTTGAAAGATCCACTTGTTGAGTGAGCCCTTGCTCACAGGTGTAGAAGGATACTCTTGGGCCAAGCTGAAGGAGTTCTCACAGGGAAACTGGTTGAGTTTCCTTGGAAAATCCAGCCCTGCAACTCCTGCATGGGCAGAATTCCCATGTTGGAGTGGCTGGTGGATTGCAGTGTTCAGGGCAGGAATGCAGAGGACCATGCTCCTGCTGTTCTGAGTGTGAGGTACACTACTGGGGCAGTCCACTGTTGTCCCAGTGGGGGCAGCTGCTCTCTTTATGTGAGCAGGACTGTGTCCAGGCTTCCTGATGTATTGAGTACCTTGAAGGCGATGTCTGTCCTCCCTTTCCTTGGAGGTAGTCCCGTTGACCATGTGCTTCACATGCGATGTTTCCTGTACTCTGCTGCTTCCAATTACTGCTTCCTTCTGCTGGATGTTCTGGTGTGTTCTCTGACTTTCTGTGGGGCTTCATTGTGTTTCCAATACATTTGCTGCAGGATAATGAACGCTGGGAGACAAATCGCATGCTGACCAGTGGTGTGGTCCATCGGATTGAAGTGGATGAAGATTTTGAGGAGGATAACTCAGCTAAAGTGCATTTGTTGGTGCACAATCTAGTGCCCCCTTTCCTAGATGGAAGGATTGTCTTCACCAAGCAGGTAGAGACTGTGGCTGAAGGCACTGATGGCAAGGAGCCCTGTACATTTGAGGCCTTTTTAGTAAAGCAATGCCTTTTTTCCTCCAGCCAGAGCCAGTGATCCCTGTGAAGGATGCCACCTCGGATTTGGCCATCATAGCTCGGAAAGGCAGCCAGCTGGTGCGCAAGCACAGGGAGCAAAAGGAGCGTAAGAGGGTACGCTGTCATCACTTGGTTTACTGCTCAGTGTACACATTATGTAGTTCCTCATAGCCTTATTTGGAACCTGCGGGATTCAGGCTTTGGCAACAGTGATGATAAGGAGTTCATATTGTTGTGACCTGGGATCTAAGACATCCTGGCAGCCCAGCTTACTGCATTGCCTCATGGCAGCTTCTGTGGTGTGGTTTTCTTGGGTGCTGCCTTGGGACATGAATCACTGTGGATTTGGACATTTGGATTATGGGAGAAGGAAGCAGGTGGAAGAATGCCAGGTAGCTTAGGGACTGGGAGCAGGCAGTATGGCAGCAGGATGTACCTTCTCATGTCTCAGCAAAAGAGGTCTGAGGAGGAGAAGAGTATGGGGTAAGGTAGCAGGTTGGTTTTTGGGGGTGTTTTCTAGGGGCTTTCTCTAAAGCTCACGTAATAGCTGTAAGTACAGGTGTTTCTTGTACATTGAAACTGGCCTGGACTTGACCTACTTACACTATGATGGAATGGTGGTGGTAGCTAAACTGAGAGCAGAGGTGGGAGGAAAGCCCACCTCTGTGTGCCAAGTGAGCTCTTGGCAAGGGCAGGAAGATTATATCTGGTTCATATCTGTGTAGGTTTAAGTTCAAATTTAATGGAAGGGTCAGCAGCTGGAACTATTTTCTTGGGAGGCAGTTGGTAATGCTTCGCCCAAGGTCTCTGTATCCATCCCAGTGTCTTAAAACTCTGCTTCAGTTCATTTGGAAGAAGGGAACCTGATGTAGGAATGGAGTGTGCATTCTGCATTGAGGAATTGTGGTGCTAATATCCTTTTCCTAGTCTTAGGAGTAGAACTGGGGAGGAATTTTGTCCGTGATTGCTGTGGCAAAGTTATGCTGTTCTCTCTCCTTCCAGGCTCAGCACAAGCACTGGGAGCTGGCAGGCACCAAACTGGGGGACATTATGGGGATCAAGAAAGAGGAGGAGAAGGATGAAATGGCAACAGAAGATGGAAAAGTGGATTACAAGTAGGGGCTTGGTCTGAATTAGTCTGCTCAGCTGGTAATAGGGGGTACGGGCATAACAAAGTGTGTGGAGAGGCAGCTTCAGGACTTGCGGTGTTTCCTTAGAA